TCTGAACAGTTCTTATACTTCTATATCCGAAATAACCAAACCGAACTGAACCGATTCGAAAACCAAATAGGTACCCAAATATATACAATATTAATTAAAAATAGAAATATAACTTAATATATATATTTATAATTTATAATTTTATTAAAAATACCCAAAAATAGTTTAAAAAAACTAAATTATGATAAAGTATCCAAATTATTTGAAAGTTTTAAGATATTTTTATTCTAAATATCCAAACTAATCCAAACTATTAGAGATTTTTGTCTGAATTATCGTAATTATTCACTATATTACCCAAAACACCTAATATTTAATGCTAACTATCCGAACTAACCAAATCGGGACCGGAATCAAATGAGAACCGGATTTTTGTGGGTATTTTCTGGTTTCTAGTTTTATTATCCCATCTGAACCGAACTCGAAACTTTCCAAACCAAATCAAAAATATATCATTTAGTAAATGGATCCTTTAAACCCCTATCTGAACTACCTGGTAACCAAAATACCAAACCAAACTATACCCGAAATGCCTACTTAATACTTCCTCAATCAACGAAACAACAAATATGTTTTTCACTAACAATACTCCTTGTATCTAAATTTAGGAAAATTGTTTCAAAATGTAATTAGTTTTCGCATTTCTAGGTAACTTTTACATTATTAAATATATGATGTGACCAATCAAATTATATATATCTATTTATATGATCGGTTTAGTTATATGAATATCTAATCTATACTTTAATTATATGAATATCTTTTTAATCTTTGTGTTTTTAACTAAAACGAATGTATTCTAGCTGGACAAAAACGATACATTTTGCATCTCTCTCATTATCGTAAGAAACAGTGCTTGGTAATGGTAGAGTCTCTCCAATCAAAGAAGCACAATTATTAAGACTGCATTGTTGACCAAACAGGGGACAAAAAAAGCTAAGAAACTACTGATACATTCTGTCTTTCTGATTAAAAAACAAAACATTGGGAAGATGTCGAGAACCAAGAAAAAGAAAGAAACGTCATAATCAACCACCACGAACTAAGTTGGGCTTTTAACAGACTCTATATGTTGTGGATCAAGAACCTGTTTTTAAAACAGTGTATATGATAGAAAATTAGCTTTCACCAAACTACGGATTAGAATAAATTTTAAAGAGTAAAACTCTAGTAAACCTCACCAGGAAGTGACTACACACACCCCCAAACTCTTTATCAGTTGCTTCATTCAAATTCGTTAAATAGAAATTTAAGTTTCTAGGAAAATGACTAACACATTACCTTACAAAACCATAAGCAGTTCTTAAGCAAAACTTAAACGACATTTTTTGTGGATTGTTTTTCCTGATAAAACGTTATAAAGATAATAAGCGTACACATTCAAAACTTTAAACTTCTCTTCAGACCTCACTCTTCTTTTTCTTCTTATCCTTCTTTTCTTTCTTCTTGGCTGGCATTTCTGTTTCTTCTTCCTCATGTTTCCTCTTCTTCTTCTTCTTTGACGGTTCCTCTGTTTTGGGCTCTTCAGGTTCAGTTTCTACTTCTGTTTTCTTCTTCTTCGACTTCTTCTTAGACGGTTCCTCGGTTTTGGCTACTTCCTCTGCATCATCAGTCTTCTTCTTCTTCTTTTTATCTTTCTTCTCTTTGACACCGTTCTCAGCTGTGGAAGTTTGTCCAAGAAGAGAGTCTGCAGCTGTGTTGTAAGTCTGCACAAAACAATAGTCAAAAAGAATCCTTTTAAGTGATATATCCAACTCAGTTGCACAACAAATTAAAGAGACAATCAAGTGGAAATTAATCTCACCTTAGCAGGAGTAATAAGACCTCCAGATCCAATCTTTTTATCCTTGTCATAAACTTCAATCTTTGGTTTGCCTTTAGCTGAGCCAGACAGACGTCCTAAATCTTTTCCTTCTAGAGATCTCAACCGTGTTTCAAGCTGTCCCAAAATAATTAAACAACAAGGCAACCATTAATAAAGAAAGAACAAGGTGGTGTAGATAGATATGATCAAAGGAAAAAAAAAACAGAAGAGTACCTTTAAACGGCTTTCCACTCCCATACTGTTGTCTTCACCATCACCAAGAGCATCACAACGGATAGCAAGAGCAGCTTTTGCAGCTAGTGACCGTGAGATTTTACCCTTGTTTTTGGGTCCAGCTTGGCCAACAACAGAGGCATGGTAGATTAGACCATACTTAGGAGTAGCATGTTTGGTCTTGAGGGCTCTAAAGAGAGCCTTCTCAGCTCCAAGAATCTGAATTGTGCTTCCAGGTTGCTTTGAGAGGTTCAACAAACTACCACCATGAGAAATTAGACGAGCACCGACAAGCTCTCCAACAAGAGCAGTCANGGTCCAGCTTGGCCAACAACAGAGGCATGGTAGATTAGACCATACTTAGGAGTAGCATGTTTGGTCTTGAGGGCTCTAAAGAGAGCCTTCTCAGCTCCAAGAATCTGAATTGTGCTTCCAGGTTGCTTTGAGAGGTTCAACAAACTACCACCATGAGAAATTAGACGAGCACCGACAAGCTCTCCAACAAGAGCAGTCAGGTTCGGTGCAATAGTGTTCATTCTGCTCTTCAAGTAGTCATAAAGCTGAGCTCTGTACTCAGCAAGAGACAGAACCTGATCACAAAGTTCCCTGATGTGCAACAAATCAAGGTCACTGACTTCAGTTCCCATGGATATCACAGAAGCCTCTTTTAGTTCCGCCTCAACTTCATCAGCCAATATCTGAGATGAGGACAGAAACAGGAAAAAAATGATATAGAAAGAAGAATAAATAGCTTCAAGAACTTTGTGCAAGTCATATCCTGAAACCAAGAAAAGATTATCAAAGGGAAGGGGAAACAAGGCTTTACCTCAGAGAAGTCTAGCTTTGCTGCATTAACCCGATTTCCCATTAATTTAACAGACTTGGCATATAGGATATTGTCACTTATGATCTTGGCAAGCTCGGGAAAATGCCAACCGTACCATTCACGAACCCTCATAGCATAAGTGTTGAGCTCTTTGTCAAGATCATCAAGCAGACCTATAGCTTGGATAATCATTGTATCAACCTGCCAAATAAAAACTAAGCGTAAGGAGATGGAAGAGAAGGAATACACAGAGAAACTGAATAGCTTATCAGACTCTAACGTTGGAACAGAAAAGTTAATCAAAACAACTCATAATCCAGAGGGCTATACAGTAGTTTCATAATCAAATAGGCTAAGAAAATCTACCTTGTCAGAGCTGAACTTTAGTTTATATCTAGCAAGACTGTGAGACAACCCCAAGCTCATTGGAGCCAAGTCTTGAGCCCCTAACCCAGATATAAGTTCGGAAAGCTGGCTTCTCACACCTCGCAACAGCTCCATAACAGCATTGTTGTGGACACAGTCTATTTTCTACAAGAGTGAAGAAAATCCGTAAGAAACAATTTCATAACAACAAACAACATAGAACAAACGAAAATCACCAAACGAATTACACACCAGTTTCTCCTTGATAATGTTTCCAAGCTTCGAATCAGCCACAGCTAAGGTTTCACCTTCGCAGTTAGCTTTCAGAAACTTACGGAGACCCTTGCTGGGAGCTCCCTCCAACAACTTAGCCACAGCTTCAAGAGCTTCAGACGTGTTGTCAAACTTGTCAAAAGCTTTAAGCTTCACCATCTGTATAAACAAAAAAAAAAAATGCTATGAGAAACCTAAACTAAACACATAACCCATAAACTAAATATAAACTATCTCAAAAACAGATGAATCACCTTTCGAGCTGAATCTGCAGAAGAGAACACATTACCCAAATCCTACAAACACCAAATAGACATACTCAGATTAAAGAAATTATTTTATAAACGAAGCCTTTACTTAAAAACAAAAAAGGGTAAAGATAATAACCTCAACATTAGAAAGCTTTCCTTCGTCTAATACTTTAAAAAGAGCGAAACCACCAGGCGTCTCAAACAATACAAGCATCTTCACAAGCTTAAGTCAACACCTGCAATATAAATTTAATGAAAACCATTTAAAATCAGGTAAACGGTATACACTCATAACTACACAAAGCTAACGTTTTTGGAGCTAAAACTAGTAAGAAACAGCTTTAAAGAGATACATCATCATGAACATAAAAGAGCAAAGAAGATAGACAGAACACGAGTTAAGGCCAATGCTATGTCAGAGTCTTGAAACTCCTCACCTGGACAAGAACTATACTAATACAAAACTAAAAAGTTAAGACATGCAGCACTGATAACGTTAAGAGAGAGGACCAGAACGATTTGGTACCTCGAAGGATCCACGAACAGAAAAGAGAAAGTAGTCAGGAGCCGCGTGTTAGCTAGGGTTTAACAGGGTCTTTGTTTTATATAGTTGTTGCAGAAGAAAGGCAAAGGAGATTCTCAAAACGCTGTGTTTTATTCCAAAGTGGCGTTTGTTTATAAGTTCGTTGTAATCTAGGGTTTTCATTATCCAGCTTATTGGGCCTGATATAACTCGGCCCACTAAGTTGAACGCAACAAGTAGTTTTTTTTTTTTTTTGAGCAAAAACGCAACAAGTAGTTATGTTTCCTTTTTCGTATTATCTCAGTGAGATGGAGTCTTTCAAGTTGTTGTCTTTACTGCGAGTATGCACCAGTGCCAAGTCACTAAAACAAGCCAAGCCTTTTTTTTTTTTTGGGTCAAAAAACAAGCCAAACTTTTTCACCAGAGAACATTCACATTCGGTTTACAAAACGACGTCGTTCTATGCAAAAGTCTAAACAATGTTTACTTCGCTTGTAAAGACCATTACTCAGCGAGACTCGTCTTCGAGAACAACACTGATCTCCAGTCACATGTCTACATCTGGAACTCTCTCTTGTCCGGTTACGCAAAGAGCTCCATGTTCCACGAAGCTCTTGAGGTTTTCAGAAAATTGCTGAATTGTCCATTTTGCGTTGCGGATTCACACGTACCCAAACGTGATCAAGGCCTGTGGTGCGCTTGGTAGAGAGTTTCACGGTAGAAATGATTCATACCGTTGTGGTGAAGAGTGGGCATGTTTGTGATGTGGTCGTGGCGAGCTCTTTGGTGGGTATGTACGCGAAGTTTAACTTGTTTGGGAGTTCAGTACAAGTGTTCGACGAAATGCCTGAGAGAGATGTGGTGTCTTACAACGCGGTTATATCTTGTTTTTATCAGTGTTGGGAGGCAGGGAAGGCTCTGGAGTTGTTAGCTATATCAGCTTGCTCGAGGCTGTTGGGTTTGGAGAGAGGGAAGGAGATTCACAGAAAGTATGTGAAGAGAGGGTTTGAGTCGGATGAGTATGTGAGCTCTGCTCTTGTGGATATGTATGGGAAGTGTGGCTATTTGGAGATGGCTAGAGAAGTTTTTGAGCATATGACTGGAAAGAGTTTGGTAGCTTGGAATTCTATGATCAGAGGTTTTGTTGGTAGAGGAGATAGTAAGTCATGCATTGAGCTTTTGAGTAGAATGGTCATAGAAGGAACTCGACCTAGTCAGACAACTTTGACCAGCATTCTAATGGCTTGCTCTCGGTCATCCGGTATCCAACATGGAAAATTTGTACACGGTTATGTGATTACGAGCTTTGTAGATGCGGATGATTTTATGAACTGTTCGCTGATTGATCTTTACTTCAAGTGTGGTGAAGTAAAGGTGGCTGAAACCATATTTGCAAAGACACAGAAGGTTGTGGTTGAGTCATGGAATGTTATGATCTCTGGTTATGTGAGTGTAGGTGATTTGTTTAAGGCTATTGAAGTGTATGACCAAATGGTGAGTGTTGGAGTGAAGCCAGACGTAGTTACTTTCACAAGTATTTTATCTGCTTGTTCGCAACTGGATTTGTTAGAGAAAGGCAAGCGGATTCATTTGTCCATTAGTGAGAGTAGGCTTGAAACAGACGAGTTGCTGATGGGTGCACTTCTTGGCATGTATTCTAAATGTGGCGATGTTAAAGAGGCTTCTAGAATTTTTAAAAGTATACCAAAGAAGGATGTTGTGTCCTGGATAGTAATGATCTCTGCATATGGATCTCATGGTCAACCAAGAGAAGCGATTCACCATTTTGATGAAATGCAGAAGGTCGGTGTGAAACCTGACGGTGTTACTTTTCTTGCTATATTGTCAGCTTGTGGGCATGCTGGGTTTATTGATGAAGGTATCAAGTTCTTCAGTCAAATGAGATCCAAGCATGGAATCAAGCCTAGTATTGAACACTACTCGTGCTTGATTGACATTCTTGGCCGAGCAGGTCGGTTGCTTGAAGCTTACGACATTCTTCAACAAGAATCAGAGACAAGAGATAATGCAGAACTCTCTTCTCTGCATGCTGCTTGCACCGGGATCATTCATTGGGTAGTAGAATCGCAAGATTGCTTTTGGAGAGATATCCAGATGATGCATCAACCTACACTGCCTTGTTCAGTTTGTATTCTTCTTGTGAGTCATAGGATGCAGCAAGGAAAGTCAAATTAAAGATGAAAGAAGTGGGACTGAAGAAGCAACCGGGCTGCAGTTGGATTGAGATTAATGAACAAGTGTGCCACTTCTTTGCTGAGGACAGGTCTCATCCACAAGCTGAGAATGTTAATGAGTGTCTTGCCCTCTTAAATGGCCATATTGAAGCTACTCAATGATTATTCTATTGTTGTTGCATCTGTCCCAAGACAACAACATCTCAGGCAACACATAGTAGATTCAGTGCGAAGTCACCTTCACAACCAAAACCTATTAAGTTGTTGGAACTTGGAGCCTATCTTCACAACACCAACATGATGCATTTCCTGGGGAGTTTACCTTGTGGTACCTAGCTAAAGCCAATCTGTAATTAAGTATTACGTCCTCTGGTTTCTTCCAAATATATATCCTTACAGTGGCCAAGCTCATATCTGGAGACAAGACCTGGAAAGCACAGAGTCAACTTGTTACCAGATTCAACATGTTCTTGTAAGATGTAAACCTCTCCAATTTGTTAAAATGTAGAAGATACAAAAAAATGTAGAAGATATATGTGAACCAAATTTTTCGTAAGTCAGCGGTTTATCATATTTAATGTGTATATATTCAAATTTAACACGTCTCTGTTCGTCATGAAACTAAAGGAACTTGTATACGGGTGGGATAATGGGAAGACGCTCCTCAGGAAAAAAGGTACCAACTTTTGTCTTGAAACGGACCTACCATGAACCTGATTCTCTAATCATTTTTTATTTATTATTATTTATTTTGATCGTCCTATGCTCAGAAGTCGTACTAATCCACTATCTTGCTGGAAGAAGAAACAGAGTGAGGTAGATAGAGAGAGAGAGAGTAGAAGATGGTTCATTTCTGAAATCAAGACCATCATCATTCATCACCAGACAAAAACAGTGTTCAATCATTTGACAAAGCCTTCCGCTTTCCAACCCATACCTTTTTCAAAAATAAAAACTTGTGTTGGGTTGTTGTATTGTCTCTCACTTGCTGGATCTTTTGCCTTTGAGAAGATATCAGGTTTCTTTTGGTTTATAGCTTTAGACCCATTACACATACATTTATACATGTGAGAATCTGGTTCTGTTTCTCTGTTTTATGCTTCACGAGATTGAGATTCTTCTTTTTTTTTTTTTTTTTTCTTGTAACACTGATTGAGATTCTTCAAAGTCTGGATTTTACTTTTTTGTTCCTTCTCTTGTAATTCTTCTGTATGCTAGTTTGCTTCATCTTTACTTCTCTCTTCCTCTTTTCTTTTAATTACTTTATTTCTTCGAAGGGTTTTCTTGTTTCTGACAAATATAACCTTTTTTATTTTCTCTCTGCTGAGAACTTACAATAATCAATTATCTGTCCTGAGTTTTATGACAACTCAAGTTGTCTTCTTGTTCAGAGTTCTGTAATAAAGTATAATAATGATAAGTATTTAGTGTTCTTTTTTCTTTGTTCCTAACTACCATTCTACATTGCATACATTTAGTTGTTGTCGTCGTCCATTCCACTGCCACTTCCTCTTTGATATTTTTTTATTCTGTCAGAAGTTGGATCTCGTTCATTTGAGCTAAGAAAAATGTTAATTTCAGCTGAAAAAGAAGAGATCTTGATCTCTCAGTCTCCAGTTAGCTCAATGTCGGTTCCTGAATCTGTTGAATCGCCACAACCTGTTCCTTTGGTCTACACCGATGTAACTGTTGTTCCTGAGCATGAAAGGAATGAGCTTCAAAAGTCAATATCAAGCCTAGAAGGTATCTCTTGATAAGCTTCTCCTCTTAAGTGTTCTTAACGCCATATTTGCTCAAAGTATAATTTCTATTTGATCAAGAAGTTTAAAATGATTCTGAGTTTAGTTTGATCTGGGTTGGTATCTACAGGGGAAGTTTTGGAATTGAAGTCAAAGCTAAAGTCATTGGATGAAAAGAGAAAGGAAGTTCTGAATAAGATTATAGACGCTAAAGGTTGTAACTCTATAATGCTCAAACCTGGTTTTGAAACTCCCTTTCTGGATTTATTTGATTCTTGTCTTGTCTTAAAAAGATTGGCTTCAATTTGCAGGAAGTATACGTGTGTTTTGTAGAGTTAGGCCATTTCTATTGACGGAAAGGAGACCGATCAGGGAACCTGTTTCGTTTGGATCAGACAATGTTGTTGTTAGATCTGCTGGAGTAAGAAAGGAATTTGAGTTTGATAAAGTTTTCCATCAATCAGCAACTCAAGGTTAGTCTCCTGCTAGGCTTTACCGATTCCTCTCTTTTTATATATCTTAGCTTTCTGTTTGCTTCCAGTTGTGAGTAAATGAGGCCTTCTCATGGTTGAAAAAAAACTCTGTAGAAGACGTTTTTGGAGAAGTAAAACCGATTCTTAGATCTGCCCTTGATGGTCACAATGTATGTGTCTTGGCTTACGGTCAAACTGGGACAGGCAAGACTTTCACCATGGTCAGTCATTTTTGAAACATTTTATTCGAAGAGTTGGTTTTTTCTTCTAAGCTAAGGAAGAACTTTGTCTTTTGTCCTTTTTAGGATGGCACAAACGAGCAACCAGGCCTTGCTCCTAGAGCTATTAAAGAGCTTTTCAATGAAGCTTCAATGGATCATACACATTTGGTGACGTTTACGATGAGTATGTTGGAGATCTACATGGGTAACCTGAAAGATCTGTTGTCTGCAAGACAGTCTCCAAGGTTCAATGAAGCCTCAACTAAATGGTAAGTAACAAGCTCTTGTATTCAAAGGCTTTTTCTCTAAAACCTCAAATATTTTTCTAAGTACTTTCTCTTGTATGCAGCAACCTCAATATTCAAGTAGACTCAAAGGGTTCAGTTGAAATTGAGGGTTTGACTGAAGTAGAAGTACCAGATTTTACAAAGGCTAGATGGTGGTACAACAAAGGAAGACGAGTCAGATCAACTTCTTGGACAAATGTGAATGAAGCTTCAAGCAGATCTCATTGGTAGGTTCCTGATGGGCTCAACTGTATTTATCAATTCTCAAACCATTCGTCATTTCAACTCTTATTCAATTAGTTTATCTCTAGTTTAACAAGGATTACCATCTTCCGTCGTGGGGATGGTGTGGGGTCAAAAACTGAAGTTAGCAAGCTTTGGATGATAGATCTCGGAGGAAGCGAGAGGCTCTTAAAAACCGGGGCAATAGGACAAACTCTGGATGAAGGAAGAGCCATAAACCTCTCACTTTCCTCTCTTGGAGACGTGATTGCAGCTTTAAGAAGAAAGAAGGGACATGTGCCTTACAGGCAAGCTCTCAAACTTTTAATTTCTTTTCACACACTCATATGCCATTGAAGTAGATCTCGCCTTGGTCATGCTACTGAGTTTTAACTTTTTTCCTTTTTTCTTGGTTGCAGAAACAGCAAGCTAACTCAAATCCTTAAAGATTCTTTAGGTAAAGGCATAATATTATTTTTAAAAAGTGTTTTATGATTGCCATATACTGACGTTATGTAAGTTTGATTGCTTTCATGAATTTGTGAATTTAACCTTTTTAGGGACTAGATCAAAGGTTCTGATGCTTGTGCACATAAGTCCACGTGATGAAGATGTCGGTGAAACAATTTGCTCTCTGAGCTTTACAAAACGTGCGAGAGCCATAGAGTCTAATAGAGGATTAACAGAAGTAAGCACATGCACTGCAGTATTTGCATGTATATATATCCATTTAGATCCACTGATTGCTGAATCTTTTCATCGTCATTGCTTAGGAACTTCGAAAGCTTAAAGAAAAGAAAATATTGGAACTTGAAGAAGATTTGCGCGACGCTCAAGAAAGTTGCAAGAAGATCATAACGCACTTACAAGAAGCAGAGTGTCTGCTTAGTGAAAACAAGAAACGCTTGCAGACCACTCATGAGAAGTATGAAGAAAACATCGAAGAGAAAGTTCTTTCCCCTTTAGATCATCTGAACGAGACTGATGCAACTCCAAAATCATCTGATAAACTTGTCAAAATAAGCAAGAGTTCTGGGTATGTCCCACGTTTCATGACTGCAACTGTTGCTAGTCGCCTAAGGCAAACAATGTCAGAGAAGAAAATCAATGCAAAACGATCAGTGGCTAAAACTCTTACTCAGTTTTCCACTTCTCAGTCGCTTAGCCTTTCTGACTCACGCAGCAGAGGTCTTCTCCGAAGATCATACACAAAGCCACTTCAAGCCGCAGCTAACATTGGAACACCAGAAACGCCTAAAAGGGATATCAAAGACCCTTCTTCAGAGAAAAGGGTTATCAGTGATACTCCGAAGAGCAAAATGGTTACTTCATCAGATCCGAATGTGAGAGCTAAACTTTGTTACCACAGGCGAAGAATGTCAAGCTTGACATGATCTAACAGCGGTTCAATCAAGAATCAGGTCTTTCTTCTTTCTTTGTGAATTTACGAGTTCTAGTCTAGGGTGATAGCCCCGTTGCGATTTGAGGACCATTTGCACTTGTGGGATGTTGCAGTTCTGGTTTTAAAAGGACACAACACTCAAGTTACTCTTTGTTCTTACAGCTGAGAGCTTGCCTATATCTTTTGGTGTGGGACTGTTTTCTCAACTATTTCTTTGGGTTGGTGTTAGCATTGATTTTGGATGTTCTTATGGTGTTCACACAAACTGGATCATAATTAATACTTCAGATTCAGTCTTATTTGGGGGTTTTAGAGAGAGAAGTGTGAAGGGTTTGAATGGTTTTGTTTAGTAATCTTTTGATGTTCCTAATGAAATACATATGCAACTCTTTCTGTAACAAGTCTTTAATTATACCATTTGATACATTTATGGATGATAGTATTTCTATAAACTTGTTTAAATATATAGTTTCAAAATATTTTGTTGGCATTAAAATATCCAACAACAATTCTTTGTGCATTTAGTTGAGATCTGTTAATATTCAAACATTTTAGCTCCGGAAACCAAAAAAAAAACATTGTTACTTACTAGAAGTGTCCAATTCGTATATTAGTTCGGTTTTGAATCGTTTTTTTTTGGGTTTTTGGTATATCGGTCTATAAAAATAACTATCATATTAAATTTGGTTTGTTCGGTTTATATACTGCCGGTTTTAGTTAATCGATTTATACCAAAAACCATAAATATATCTATCCTTTAAAATTTTACTTTATAGGATTAGATATCAGTTTTAAATCTATATTATAATAGTAGAGTTTCTAGGCTCCACAACGCGCCACATCAGCAGTTTTGTGGGGTCCATAGGTATTTTTTTTAAACCATAGTCTTGGTAAGATGATTATGAACAATGAAATATAATTTAGCCAAGTGGTATAAGATGTCCAATTAAGCATGCAAGATCGTGGGTTCAAACCACGCAGCTATCATGTATTTTTGATTTTTTTTATTTGGTTATTATCTTATGGGCTTTTTGTTTATAAAGTTTTTATGTTTTTTTTTACTTATTGTTTTAAAGATCAAAATAGTTAGATAAACCCTAAAGTTTAACAAGTTCAAACCCAAAAACAG